CTGGGGACTGCTTTTTAAAAATATATATGTACTCTTACGATATATATATATATATATATACTGTGTGTATATATATATATATATATACTGTGTGTATATATATATATATAGTGCACATATGTATACCTATACTGTGTGTGTGTGTGTGTATATATAATATATATTCTATACCATATATACATATATATACTGTAATCTTCCAATAAGGTAAGCTAAAGAAAAGAAAATGTTATTAAGAAAACCACAAAGAAGAGAATATACATGTACTATTCATTAAGCAGGAGTGGATCATCATAAAGGTCTTCATCCTCACTGTCTTAACACTGAGTAAGCTGAGGAGGAGGAAGAAGGGGGAGGCAGGAGAGGCAGCACATAAATTTTATTGAAAATAAATCCACATGTAAATGGACCTATGCAGTGTTGTTCAAGGGTCAATTGCATTTATATCATGGAGATGAAACAGAAGGAACGGATGGTTTATTTTGTTAATTGTACCTATTTGGAGACAGGAGTGGCATTTAGAATTACATTATTTTAAATTTTAAAGATTAAAGTCAATAATTAAAAACATAAACCACATAAGCGATATGAAAACATAACTCCATTCACCTCCTCTTGGACAGAAATTTGCCTCCGTTTCCTAAGTAAACAAAAAGCTGTTATGTCAGTTTTTCAGATGTGAACACCCCCACCCCTGCTCCCACCCCTTGCTGCCCTGTGGAAGTCCTTCTTAATGTCTAGCTTCATTCCCAGCCCTGTTTTCTCTCCCCCCACTCCAGGACATGAGGCGACAGTATAGCATGCTGCATTCTCAGGAGTCCAGCAGCTCTGTCTTCTACCACTCTCAGGATGAGGGACCTGGCCCAGACAGTGGAGATTGTGCCAAGAATCTGGGGGTGTATTTCAACCTGGGGCAGGTCAAAGATGCCCGGCCAGTCAGCAGAGACTCTACCACCAAGCCCGGTTGGTCTGCTGCTCTGATTCCTACCTCTTACTGAGCACTTATTGCATGCTAAGCACTTTGTATAAACCATCTCACTGAATAGTTAGCAGCAGCAGAGGTAGGTACTATTATACCATTTCACTGATGAGGAAACTGAGACTTGGGAAGAATTAAAGCAACTTGCCTAAGCTCATGGAGCCTGAAAGAGGTAGAGTACAGTCAAAGAGACCTACGTGACTCCAAAGTCCTAATGAAAAGATTCTATTCAAAGGGTAGTTACCAATTCCCTACTAAGGCTGAGTGCAATGTGGGAAGCAGTAACAATTCAGACTTGTCATCTGCCCTTCCAGAGCTCTCCATCTAATGAGAGATATGACTGGCCCTAAGTCTCAGAGAAAGCAGAGTGACAAGGGCCACAGGAAAATTTAGCAAACTGAGAATCCCAGGAGAGATAAGCACATCCACTAGAGGATATTAACAAAGATTTCATAGGCTGGGTGTGTTGGCTCACACCTGTAATCCTAGCACTTTGAGAGGCTGAGGCAAGAGAATTGCTTGAGTGCAGGTGTTTGAGACCACCCTGGGCAACGTGGCAAGACCTAGCTCTCCAAAAAATAAAATAAAAAATTAGCTGGGAGTGGTGGTACTTGCCTGTAGTCCCAGCTACTTGGGAGGCTGAGGCAAGAGGATTGCCTGAACCCAGGAGATCAAGGCTGTGGTGATTCATGATTGCACCACTGCACTGTGGCCTGAGTGACAGAGTGAGATCCCGACTCAAAAATTTTTTTAAAAAGTACTTCACAAGGCAAAGCAAAATCCTGGCTCTTAGAAGTAGGGAGGGAGGGGAGCTTCCTGGCAGCAGGAACTGCCAGAGCAAAGATGGTGGAGGTGTGATACTTACACCACTTGTTGCTCACTTAGTATGTCAGGAGCACATTGTACCTTAAAAAGGAGCAGAGGAGAGAGTAGCTGGGGAACTGGCTTAGGGCTAAAGTGGGTGGCTCTGGCCACTGGATGAGGCACCCACACATATTTTAGCAGGCACGCAGCAGAGAACCTAAGACACTTCCAAGCAGGAAGGGGTATGCAAGCCCCTCTCTTTTCCCACTGTATCAGCCTAATGTTTCCCCGTCACTATTCCTGTCCAGCTCTGCACCTCTCCCAGCGACGGAGGGCATACAGCACCAACCAGATCACCAACCCCAAGCCCTGCCCGAGGGCCACCACAGCCAGCGACCCCACAGTGAATACCAGGAGATACCCACTGCGGAAAGCCAGGCTGCAGGACCTCACCAACCAGATCAGCCTGGATGCCCAGCGGTGGCAGATTGATTTGCAGGTACCCAAGCTGGGCAGGCTGGGGAGAAGCTGGGGATGGTCACGGGTAGGGACAGCTGTGTCTCTTGCTTCAACCACAGGACACGGTCTGCAACCTACACTGTGAAGTGAGCCACTCCCCCCTCCCTTTTCCGAACCTTCTTCTGCCCCACCCCCAACGTCACCTTCCTAATCATGACACCACTGATCAATTAGCTCACTCATTCCCTGCAAGCAGCACCTCCCACTTGGCAGGAGCATCTGCATCGACTCTCTCGTTTGATTTTGCTGCAGCCCTGGGAGAGGAGAGAGCTTGTGAGCCAGCCACTCTCACTCAGTGGAAATTGAGGGTCAGAGAGGTAAAGCAACTTATCCAGGGTCGCACAGCCAGTCAGCAGACTGCAACACAGGACCCTCTGCCTTCAAAGTCCTTGCTTCCCCCCACCCCCGCTAGCTCACTGCCCCTCCTACAAAAATCCTCAGAGTTATACACTCACCCAGGGTAGAGAGAATTTGAGATTCAGGCAACCACAGCAGGAAGGGTCACCCACTGTCCCACTAAGTCCAGGGTTTCTCAACCTCAACACTATTAGCATGATAATTCTATGTTATGGGGGGCTGTCCTGTGCATTGCAGACTTTATGGCAGCTTCCCTGACCTCCGCTTGCTAGAGGCTGGTGTTACTACATAGCACCACTCCCAGTCATGACTACCAAAAATATCTGTAGACACTGCCAAATGTCCTCTGGGGGGCAAAATCACCCAGTTGAGAACCACCACCCTACACCAAATGGTTGTCTACCCATTTTCTTATGAGTGGGTTCCCTGTCGATTCATTCTTATAAGTCTCTGGTTCCTTTTCACTCTCCCCTGGATGCCCCCTCCCACCACCTCATCCCTCCCTGCCTCCTTATACACACGCACCCACTCGCCAAGGGCAGGGACTCTGCCACCTTGTCCCTCGGGGCCTTCTCTGTGCTTACCCAGAGACCACCTGATGCAGTTGGAAGGCATTGGCCCTGCAGTCAAGCTGACTCTGCTCTTCAGACGCCACTCAACTCTCTGAGCCCCACCTGCCTCATCTATAAAATGGGAGAATAATTTCTGCAGATGACTGAGCTGCCATCCATCAACAGATAGTTATCGGAAGCCAACCATAAGTGGAGGGCTCTTGCGGGCATTGGCCAATGAGAGCTGAAGTGCCTGGCCCAGCACCTGGCACACAATAACCGTTTTTTGATGGCAGCTCTAGTTGATCAGCGTTCTGGGCAGGCTGGCTCCCCTTTGCTTCCCTCCTGCCTGTCCTTAGCTCTTAAGGCCCATCTCTGCTCACCTCTTGCTCCCTCTCCTTCCTAGCTTCTTCCCCAACCTAGGTCTCTCCAACACCACTGTGTTCTCTCTCTCTCTCTCTCTCTCTCTCTCTCTCTCTCTCTCTCTCTCTCTCCCCCCCCTGCAGCCTCTGGCTGGATAAAGGGCTAGATTGTCAACTTATTCATTGCCATGGAAACCTTAGCAGCTTCCATTTCTGTCTCTGACCTGGTGTGGTCAGAGATGATGAAGAGGCCGGGCTGGGGAAATCCCAGTCTTTGATTGTGGTGTGAGGATTAGGGAATGATCCCTTGGGACTCAGCAGCCCTGGCTGGGGACCAGTTCCCACTGAGGCCATTCTGGGAGTCCATTTCTTCTCCCACACCCTTATACTATCCCTAGGACTTCTGGCCCAGAAAGATAGAAAGGCAACCCCCATTTAATGGAGGGAGGTAAGGACCATCTTTCTCCCGATAGATACTTGATAGGGATGAAAAAGCTCCCGTGGGTAACAGCTGGCCTAAAAAGTTCTAACTAGTAAGTGCCTTTGCATCCTCATCCGCTCCCCCTACCAGAGGATGTATATGGTCCCAGAGACTTGAAATTCATTTTTAATTAATTTAATATTCTTCCATTACAAAGTCATACATACTCAGAGTTTGCAATAAAAACCCTCAAACAATTCAGTCAGGTGTAAAGTACAAATAAAAGTTCCCCTGACCTATGTCCAGACCTACTTGGTCCTGAGTATTTTCTTCTAGAAATGCTACACACACATACATTTTTAAAAATCACAAATATAAGAGCATTTTCTTGAAAATGGTCTTTGTCATGAGTGTTGCAAATATATTTCTCAGTTTATCTTTCACCTTTTGATGTCTGTTGTGTATCAGCACAAAAATAGAGACATTAAATCAGCAAAACAAAACAAAAAGTCCATTAATTAAGGAGTCTCATTCTGTCTCCCAGGCTGGAGTGCAGTGGCACGCTCCCGGCCATCGCAATGTTGACCTGCTGGGCTCCGGCGATCCTTCCGCCTCAGCCTTCCAGGTACTTGGAACTACAGGTGTGCACTACTACGCCCGGCTAACTTTTTATTTATTGTAGAGAACGAGGTCTTGCCAAGTTGGCCGGGCTGGTTTCGAACCCGCAGGCTCAGGCAATCCACTCGCCTCGGCTTCCCAAAGTGCTGGAATTACAGGCTGAGCCACCGAGCCCAAACCAACTCACTTTTTAATGCCTTTTTTATTCACTTTTTAAACATATACTATGAAATTACTCTTTTGGTGAACAGTTCTATGGGATTTGATAAACACATATAGTCATGAGATCATCACCACAATTAAGGCACAGTACAGTCACTATTTTTTTAAAAATACGCTTTATCTTGAACATCTTCCCATTTGGGTATAAGAAGCCTATTTCTTTTCAGTGTTGTGTGGTGTTTCATTGCATGGATTATTTGCTAATTCCTCCTGATGAATATTTAGTTTCCAGATTTTTACTTTTACAAAAAATACTACAGCATATATACAGTATTTGTGCATAGATATTTGCACCCTTGTGTATTTCCACAGGATCGAATTCCTAGAAGTAGAATTTCTGGGTCAAAGAGGCTTGTGTATTTTAATTGCTGCTAGATAGCACATTGCTCAATTGTTCTGTCTCAACTGTATACCAATTTACACCCCCAACCCCTGACAGTACTTGAGAGACTCTGTCTTCTCATTGACCACACTGGGTGTCATCAAACGGTTATACCCAATCTGCAAGATAGAAAAAAAAAGTGGCTTACCTTAATTTACATTGCTCTAATTTTTCATGAGGCTGAGCCTTTATTCATGGGTTTATTGGACAGTTTTGCTATAAACTGCCTGTAAATGCCTTGAACCCCTTATTCTATTATGTGTATCTTTTATCCCACAGTGATTTATAAGAGCATTTTCTTGAAAATGATCTTTGTCATGAGTGTTGCAAATATATTTCTCAGTTTGTCCCTCGCTTTTTGAAGTCTGTTTGTACCAGCCCAAGAATAGAGAGATTAAATCAACAAAACAGAACAGAAAGTCCATAAATAAAAGCAAATGTGCATGAAAGTTTTGTCGGATTAGAGGTAGAAAACCATACACTGTAGGGACTCAATGGAAAAGCTGCATTGAATAGTGTTGAGATCTGCACCATTTGGAAAACCAAGGAAAGACTGGTTCCTTTCTTCTTACACCAAAATAAATTTTATGTAAATCAAAGATTTAAACCACACAAACAAACAAAAATGAAATCCCAAAAATTCTAGCATATTTTTTAGTGAGAAAGACCTTTTAAGCATGACATATGGGAAGACATAAGGAAAAGGTTGATAATTTTAACCACACACAAAAAAATGTTTAAAACTTTATGGCAAAAAAAAAAAAGCAGGCTTAGAATTATTCATGATGTGTGACTTTCCATCGTGTTCCGTGTTTTGAAATTTATCCGTGGTTTGGGGGTTATTCTTGTTGATGTTTTCATGGATAATGGAGACTAGGTTATGTATTCCTGGGTACTGGAGGAACAGTGCCCAGGAGGGGCTGTGATGCCCAGGGAAAGAGCTGTTGGGGAGGGGCGGGTGGGAGGAAGGGGGGTCCAGCCAACCAGGGGCTATGCCTCCTCCGCCCCCTTTTGCATCCCTAGCCCTTGCTGAACAGTGGCCAGGACCTGAGCCAGGGCCCCAAACTCCACGGCCCAGGGGCCCGCAGGCCCTCTCTGCTGCCCCAAGGCTGCCAGTCATTCCTGCCCTTGGGTCAGGAGACCCCAGTCTGGAGACCCATGAGAGAGCTGGACCCTGGGTCCAGCCTGACACCTGCCTCGGACAGCCGCAGCCCTGGGGATCTGGGTAAGTGACTGCAGGATTCAGGACTTGACTTGGGACATGGAGGAATCTTTGTTGTGGCTCACCTACAGATGACAGGCCCAGGCAGATACCTGTGCCTGTGTCCTTGGGATCTGCTGTGGCTCACCTCTCCCTGAGGACCTCACCATCCCCTACTTCCCCAATCACCCTAACCCTTGGGTGATCTGTGAGGTTGCAGCTCCATTCTCTCTGCCCAAGTGCTCCATCCCATCCTGTCTGGTCCCTTCAGGTACTGGTTTCCTGGGAGATGGATCTGTCCCTCTCTTGGGGACAAGCCCATGCCATCCCAGCTGTCCTCGGAAAGAAGTCGGAGATGTCTGTTCCCTCGGAAGGTGGAGGGGGTACTTGCTTAGGGGTTCCTAGGGAGAGATGATGTCCCCTGGAAGTTAACTCCCTGACCCCCAGATCAGCGTTTGGCCCTCTTGTTCTTCCGCCCGCAGAGCCGTCCCATCATTCCTCCCTCTTCGAGATGGAGACGTCCTCGGACTGGGAACCCCTAGCCGAGTCTGAGGAGGGGGCCAGTCCTGGCAGGCCTGCCACCCCAGGCCCGGTGCTGGGCAAGGCCCTGGTCAAGGGCCTATGCGACAACCAACGCCTGCAGTGGGAGGTGAGCTTCGAACTGGGGCCCCCCGGCCCGGAGCCGGGCAGCGCGCGCGACGCCGACCTGTGGAATGAAACCTTCCATCACCTGGCGGCCCGCGCCATCATCCGCGACTTCGAGCAGCTGGCGGAGCGCGAGGGGGAGATCGAGCAAGGTAAGCGCCCGGGGCCTGCGCCACCTCCAGCCAGCGGCCTCCGGACGGCCCCTCCCAATAGCTGCACCAGTGCCCTGCCCACTTCCCTCCAGGACACGCCCACCTCGGCCCCGCCCCCTGCAAGCTGCTCCCAGGGTCCGGCCCACTCCCTTGGGACCCCCCTCTTCGCCCCACTCCCTCTGCAGAGCCCCGCCCCGTTTCCCGCCCACTCTCCTCCCCGGCCTCTAGGCTCCACCTCCCCATTCTGCTCAGTGCCGGAGGTCATTCCTTATCCTCATCTCACAGTTCACTGTTCCCCCCACTCCTCCTATCGCTGCCTGGAGGTACCCTCCCTACTCCCAACACTCCCTCTTCCCCCAAAACACACACACACACACACACACACACACACACACACACACACACACACCGGGGTTGTCCCTTTCCTCTTGGTTCTGCCCCCCCGCATTTCCCTGCCTCCAAGTGCCCCTCGTCTCCAGCCCTAACCTCCTCCAACCCTTCCACCCCCACCCGGTGGTCCTTCCTCTTCTCTCACGCCTCCTCCCCTTTTCCTATGGCCCCCCACTTGCCCTCACTTCCCAGCGCTGCTCCCCTGCAGCACCCCCTGTAGGGCACCAGAGACAGAACAGTGGCCAAAGCCTACACCTTCCTCATGAAACCCCCAAGTCCAGTCGGTCCAGGCACTCATCAACACCTTTTACTTATTGCGGACCAGCTAGAGGCCAGGCTCCCGCTGGACCCTGTAGAGGCAGCGGAACTGCACAGTGAACAAAGCAATCACTGTCCTTCCTTACCCATGAGTGCTTGGCGGACTAGCAGGGATGGCAGCCCTGTCAAATAATTACACAAATAATGAATAGAGTGCATTTGTCCTAAGTGCTATTAAGAAGAAATGGAGGGATCCAGGAGATTGTATAACAGAGATGGTGGGGGAGCTCATTTAGTCCAGGAATTGGGGCAGACTTTACTGAGAAAGTGACTAGTGGGAGCTTGATGGTGCACGCTTGAGAATAGAAATAGAAAAGAGTTATTTCTTTGCTGTAGGTTTATGCTTTATTTATACAGTAATATTATATTGTTTATTTTATTTGTGTCATTTATGTGTTACTTTTTTCTCTTCTCATGAGCTCCTCATCTCAAGGTTTACAAAGCATGAGTCTACCCTTCATCTCCTTTGCTGCTGGCACAACCTTCTAGAGGCTGAGAGCCACCGGGATTGCTCTCCTGTTTAGTGCAAAGGGCCTGGGTTTTAGGGCCAGACCATGCTGAGTCCTGATCTCACATCCCTTACTAACTCACTGTGTGACCCTAGAGTCGCCACTCTCCCTCTCTGATTTTCAATCTTCTCAGCAGTTAAATGGGTCAGATCAGTGGCTCCCGCCCACCAGTCAGGGGACCTATGAAGTCCTAAAGCAGGGTGCCCATTAGACCTCTGCAAAATTAAAATATAAAATAACAGACAACTTAGTGAGTTGGGCTTTTTAAAAATAACACTGCAGTTATTTAAGGGAAGTAGCTGTCTTGTATTCTGAGATAACATCTTACGTTTTTACATTAAAATATCTTTTATTTTGTGAAATGATGATGTGAAATGATGGTGGGTTTTTTTTAAAGTGCCTTTAATTAGAAAGTTGGCAACACCTTGGTTTTAAGGGCTTATTTAATCCCAAAGATGGGGACCACTGCTCGAGTGCTCCTGCTGGCTTCCAGAGCTTCCATGTTAGGGAGGACTTTATGAGTCCAAACATAAAAGCCTCTGCCTCCTCAGGGTCCAACCGCCGCTACCAGGTGAACGCCATGCACACCAGCAAGGCCTGCAACATCATCAGCAAATACACAGCCTTCGTGCCTGTGGACGTGAGCAAGAGCCGATACTTGCCAACTGTGGTGGAGTACCCCAACTCTGGTAAGACAGGTGAGCGGCTGCGGTGCCCCTCAGGGCCAAGCAGCCCCCGGGGAATGGGGAAGGGGGCTGAGGTGCAAAGGATCACAGACCTACAGGGAGGGTTCAAGGCGGGGTCTTAAAAACAGAAAGGCCCCCCAGCGGGTGGCTTGGCTGCCATGAGGTGGGGACACATAGAACACCATCACATTGCTCTGCAGAGTCTGGGAGTCCTTTCCTCTCTCTTTTTCCCACCTAATGAAAATGACTTTGTTGTATTTCTCCAGCTGGGATAATGATATGAGCTCATTGTAGAAAATTCAAAAATATAGAAAGACATAGAATAAATAAAATGACTTGGACAGACAGACATTCAGGAGTGAGTACTCGTTATCTCCTTGATGGGACCAGCTTTCCAGACTTCTCTGTATGAATACCTACTTGGAGAGAAACCAAAAGACAGATCATTTTACACGAATTGGATCCTGCAATATGTGCTATATTTTACAAAATATGGATGTGGAAAGTATCTCTCCATGAAGGTGAGCCTACAAAATCATTTTAATAGCTCTAACACATTCCACTGCAAGGAGCTGTCATCATCAGAATAGACAGTGTTCCAAAGCACTTTGCATACATTTTAAATCACCTGACCTTAAAACAGCTCTGCATGGTAGATACTATTATTACCCTCATTTCACAGATGGGAAACAGAGGCAGAGGGGGTTAAGTAACTTTCCCGAGGTCTCACAGTGGTGTCCCTGTTCTCTCCCACTCCTCTCTGCTGCCTCTTAAGATTTATCACAAACTTTTAAACCTATTCAGACCTTTAGTTTATTCTCCGTTTGGTTATTGTAAATTATGTGGCAAAGAACATCTTTGGCCAACTGTCTGGTTATCTCCTCAGGGTTAATTAACTCTTAGAAGTAGGACTGCAGTATCAAGGGTATGTCCATTTAAAATTGGGATGGGCCAGGTGTGGTGGCTCATGCCTGCAATCCCAACACTTTGGGAGGCAGAGGCGAGAGGATTGCACGAGCCCAGGGGTTAGAGACCAGCCTGGGCATCTTGACGAGACCTTGTCTCTACAATTAATCAAAAAATTAGCCAGGCATGGTGGCACGCACCTGTGGTTCCAACTACTTAGAAGACTGAGGCAGAAGGATCGCCTGAGCCCAGCAGGTTGAGGCTGCAGTGGCCATGAATGTGCCACTGCATTCAGCCTGGGCGAAAGAGTGAGACTCCAACTCAAAAAAAAAAAAAGAAAAATATAAAATAATAGGTAAAATAAAAAGTAAAATAGAATAAAATAAATAGGGATGTATGTTACCAAACTGCCCCCACCTGCACAAAGGTCATTCCAATGTCCATCCTCTCCAGCACTGAATATTGTGTATCTTTCTCAACTTAGCCAGACTGATAGGCTAGGAAAGAATCTCTCTTAGGATATTTCTTTAATTTTTTTGTGAGATACTTTTCGTGTTCGTGAGTTATTTGTGCTTTTCTTGTTTCTGAATTACATTTTCTTGTCCTTTGTGGTTCCTTTGTTTTCCTAGAAGACCTCCAGAAAGAATTGTGTTTGGGAACAAAATGTGCCCTTCCTCATTCCTCCTGTCCCCCTTTTGGCACCCCGTATCTGTGGTACCAAAGTGATTAGCCACACATCTCACCCTCCTCGATGGCTGCCATTTTAGGCAGTTCAGCAACCAGCCAACCAGCCTGTTGCCTCACTGGGTGGTCTCATTATTCACATTGTTAGGACGATTCTCCTTCCCAACGTCTCTGACCAGCCTGCCAGCACCTGAAGTCATAGCCTAGGAGGACAAGAACCCGACCCATATCTTAACTCAAGTCCCAGAGCCCCCTAAGATCTGGATCAGCGCTTCCCCAAGTGTGTTCCAAGAAACTAGAATCTTCGTTTCATGTCCTGTGAAAAACCACCTAGCAGAAAAAATGGAAAATATCAAATTAGAAAATATATTTAGGAACTGGATTAAATAAAGCTCAAAAGCTTTCTTTACAGCAGAACTTCTCAGAGCCTTTAGGATGTCAGTGTCCATCAAGAGGCTCAGCAAATGGACTATATCTTATGCAACTTCTCCCAAACTGATTCCCTATTTTTGAGGAACAGTTTACTGACTAGTGTTCTCTGAGAGTGGGGAGCACAACATACTTTAGGGTACTGTAATTTCATCTCTCTTCCACCCACCCCCTCTTGATGAGGCTCAGGGACTTCAGGAACCTGCCTTGTGGGAGGGAGACCGGGATGATGGGTCTCTGAGACAGCAAACAGAGACAAAGTGTTTTGTTTTTTCATTTAACTAGAAAACATTGCTGCTTCCTGAACATTATCTCAACAATAGTATCTACCCACAAGGTAGGTATTATTAACCCCTTTTTCCAGATGAGGGAACTGGCTCAGAGTGGTTAGCACTCCATCCAACTGGTAAGGGATGGCTGGGGCTCAAACCCAGGTCTTTCTGACTCTAAAGCTCATGGTCTTAACTTGTACTGTGCCTTTCTGCCTTTGGAAATATTGAAGCCAGAATCATTTCTGCCAGCCTTGGGGAGAAGGCAAATAACTGGCACATTTGGGGAGAAGGCAAAGGATTGGCACGTTTGTACCCAACTGCCCCTTTCTCCTTGTTCTCCATGAAGGTGCTGCTTTGCGGGCGGTCAGCTCTCGAGTCCTGACCCGACAGTGGAAAGGCACCCCTGCTGGCTTCAGACGGTCGCAGACCATGCTCAGAGAAGACTCGGCAGCAGGAGATGGCAAATTTCAGACCCCAAGTAAGAGCCACCTCTGGCATGTTCAGAAGTCCGGGACCCTGGAATTATGATACAGTCATGTCTGAGGTCCCAGAGACCTCTCTCTGAGTCTGTGCGTGGGGCTTAGGCAGGTCTGGGACAAAGCCAGGCCTCCAAGGCCCTCTGAGACCTGCGAGGGGCAGAGGGACTCAGGATGTCTGAGCACACTGACCCGACACAGCTCTCTCTCTGCCAAAGAGCTGCACTGCCTCCCTGCCCGTGCCATCCCTCACCTCTCCCCTTCCAAGGGCTGCTGACCCTAGTGGCTGTTCCCTGCCTCTGGCCTCAGAGTCTTCCCAGGCACCAACTGCCAAGAAATCTAATGAACAAGGGAAACAGTGAAGAGCAGAGAGGCAGTTCCATCTGTTTGGGGCCTACCATCTGTTTCCTTCAGGATTCCCAGCGGCCTCCTTGGAACCTTCACCTGATCTCCTTATGCCTGCAGCTTGGCTCCTTGAAGAGCCACGATTTGACCCTCTTGTGACCTTGCACTAGTTTGTAGGATGGCCTTAACCCTCTATGTCCTGCATGGGTGTGTGTCTTTCCATCTCTCTAAAGACAGCCTTACTGCTGCACTAGTCCTAGCCCCTTCCTTGGTGCCCTCACATGTGCAGTGCTATGCATGGGAAGGACATCAGAGGTCCCACCTGGCCACCAGCCCAGCCACCCAGACCATAAGAACTGTAATGCTCACAGACATTGATGGGAGAAAAAAAAAAGAAACAGAGAAAGTCTTTTAAATTAAGGAGTTCTGCCAACTTCCTGGTCCCTTTGGGCTCCAAAATCCAGGGGAACCAGCTCTGCCCCTGAGCCAAGCTGAGTTTCCAGACCTCAGAAAATTCATGGTCTACCCTTTCCTTTCTTCAAAGCTCAGTTCTTGTGGTCCATGGCTTCCATTAAATCCCAAATCTCTTCCTTTTAATTGTCCTGTTTCATGCCTGCATCTCTGACTTCTAAACTCTCATTCTACCCCAAGCCCTTTCCTTCCCTAAGGATAACAATGGCTAACACTGAGAGTTTTCCATGTGCCAGGCACTGTTTTAAATATCCATGACTCCTCACAGTCATCTTGGGAGAGTTTCTTTTTATTTTCCCCATTAAGAGATGAAGAAACTCAGGCTCAGAGCGGTTAAGGGACTTAAGGTCACACAACTGACCATGATGGAGCCAAGGTTTGAACACAGTGTTTGGCCCAGAGTCCATGCAGTTAGGTCAGCATACTCTTTGCTTCCTGGTTGCCTCAGTCATTCAGTCACCAGTTCATTTTTGTGCTATGTGCTTGGGAGGGTGCAAGCAGAACTCCATGTTGGCCCTCACAGAGCTAATGGTCTCCTGGCAGGAGACAGAGGTTTTGCTGAACATATATGTTCATGAAGCTTTCCCCAATTTGGATTACTCCGTTATAATAGACTGCCCTGTCATTCCCTAACCCTTGAAATAGTAATCAGAACAAAAGTCACCTCAATGATGCATTTTGGACAAAGGATGCACAATTACCCCATTTTACAGATGAGAAAACTGAGGCTCAGAGCCCTCTGACATCCAGTGCCTTGTTATAGTGCCTCCTGGAGAGCTGGCATGAGCCCCTCCCCAGTGAGGCACAGAGCTGGTGAGGAGATACCCACTCCTTCCCCAACCCCCCGCCCTCAGGTCCCTGATAGCTCCTGCTTCCCTGCTGGGTCTGCAGCTCAGGACTTTATCAAGCACTTAACCATGGATAAGCGCTCTCTGTGTATTATCTCATTTAATCCTTACAGCAACACTGTGAGACAGTGTACCATTATCCCCAACTTGCAACCAAAATTTGTGAAGTAACTTTGCCAAGGCCCCACAGCTGGTCAACGAAGAAATCAGGATTTGAACCCAGGCATGTGTGACCTTCTTGTGGGGCAATGTTTATATCTTTGGAAGATGAAGAACCATCCAAGCTGGGCTAAAAACCTTGACCTTGCTCCCCAACCCACCCCAGGCCCTGGGAATTAGATTATCACTCTCCCGAGGGGATGGGAGGTGGGAAAGAGAAGGGAGAACCTGGGTCTCACTGTTCTTTCTGTCATAGATGTGGAGGAGAGCCTCCCCATGCCCCTCATCGAGGCCACATCCCCTGGCCACGAGAAGCACATTGCTTCTGAAGGTGAGTGGGCAGTCAGTGCTGCCTCTCTTCTTAATCAGTAGGGTGACAGTGATTGGTTTTGGAGTCAGGAGCGTGTCCTGACACCAACACGGGCCTCGAGACTTCATGGATTCCACACCTGTGAGGTGAACAGGATTATCCCCAATTCAAAGATGAGGAAACTGGCCCAAGGTCACATAGCACATTGGTGACAGAGCTGGGCCTGGGCTCAGGCCTCCCAATTCCCAGCTGAGAGACCATTTTGCCACCCCACTCTGCCTAGAGTCCTCCAGTAATGCACCAGGAAGGTCAACTCAGTGTCCTCATTTGAGAATGAGGGAGTTGACCTGAAGCTGTCACTGCCCCTGCAAGTAACTTTCCCCAAGATGCCAGGGCCTGCCTGCCAAGGACACTTGGAGGCAGGTTTTTTTACATGTGGACCACCTATTTCACCCTTCCCCACACCAACAGGGCCAGAAACAACCCTGCAGCCTAATGGTGAGCTCAGATCCCTAGGGACAAAAGGATCTAGACAAGTCCCTGCCCCCTCTGGGTTTCTGTTTCCCTAGCTGGGCAGTGAGCATTTGAGCAGCTGGACAGGGTCATCTGTCAGCTCTCACCTCTGTCGTCCTGTGGCTCTCCAGGTCCTGTGCACAGCCTGGCCACCAATACCCTTTCTTCCATGAAGGCCTCGGAGACTCTCTTTGGATCCAGGTAAGTAGATTTCCAGTGAGGGTACACACTACTGTCACCCATTTTCCTGGGGCTGTCGCTGGTCTGGAAGGCCAAAGAAAGGTCCAATGTGACATTTAGACAGGTATTAAGAAGGTCCTCCTAGCCAGAGTTATCATTGTCTTCTAGGTCTCACACTGCCTGAGCAGCCCCCCACCAAAACTGGCCCATGGTCTCTTTTCAAATGCAAATACCCCTGGAGGGCTAGCACACCACTCTTCTGACTCCTGGGCTCCACCAGAATACAGTATCAGAATACAGTGGCATAGTGGCTCATGCCTGTAATCCCAGCACTTTGAGAGGCAGAAGTGAGAGGATTTCCTGAACCCAGGGGCTCAAGATGAGCCTGGGCAGCTGGGTGTGGTGGCACATGCCTATAGTTCCAGCTACTTGGAAGGCTGAAGCGGAAGGATGGCCTGAACCCAGCATATCGAGATTGCGGTGGCTGTGAGTATGCCACTGCACTCCAGCCTGGGCAACAGAGTGAGACTCCAATTCAAAAAAAAAGAGAGGGTCATCCAAAGAACACTAACCCACCCCAATCCTCACTGCTGCTAACTCTAACTTGCTGAGTGCCCTGGAGCAGGGGCCTCTCCCTCCCTCCAGGCCTCCATTTCCTCAGCTGTCAAATATAGAGGCTAGAGGAGGCCATCCGCTGGATCCCTTCTGGCCTTGACTTTCAGAGGCTCCTGGGTGGGCACTGGGGGGTGAGATGATTCGGAACACCTGACTTCACCTGCACAGGCTGAATCTCCACAAGTCCAGGCTGCTGATGCGAGCAGCCAAGGGCTTCTTGAGCAAGCCACTGGTCAAGGCTCCAGAGGCAACTTCTGCCAACCAGAGTTTCGACTATATCCTGCTGGTGAGTGCCCCGACCCCTGGCCTCAGTCCTCTACTACCCCACTCAGCAGCAGGGCCTTCCCATGATCACCCCACCCACCCCTCCTCCTCCTCAAAGGGAAGGAGACCTTGGTCTTAGAGCTCAGATCCCCCGAGTTCTGAGCTTCCAAGAGCTTCCCACCCAAGCAGTCAGCCTGAGTCTTTCAGGGGTCTAGGGATATTGCTAGAAGCCAGCACCAGCATCACAAAAATTCTCTGCAATCTGCTGTCTTCGCCTTAAAAATTTGTGGGGGAATTTTACATTCTGCTCCACCGTCTATGTGTATCTGTTTTTTGGTACATAAAAATAATCTTTGAAATGACTCACAAGTGAGTAAAATTAACACCCCAGGGACATGCACCACGTTTAGCAAGTGGGTCTGCAGACACCCCAGATGCTGTAGCAGGGTGAGAAGCTCAGGTCTGGAGTGGGCTTCTTTAAATTGAGGAGCAGGGGAGACTGGTCCTGCCATATCTGGGGCCCCTCAGGGCTTAGGGGACAGAGGATGCTCAAAGAAGGGGCATGGTTTGAGTTTCACCCGTCATTCTGAATTTCCAAATATCCAGGGCAACAGAACACTATGCAGCGTTCATTCAACAAGTATTGAGTGAGTCTGGCCCAGTGCTAGACCCTGGGGAGACAACCTTGAGCTAGACAACCATAGTTTTTGTATCCGTGGTGCTAAGCGTCTCATGGGAACCAGGAACCAGGCAATTCTAACCCTTGGGAGCTGTCCACTTTGGTGGAGAAGCACAGGGACTGGACACCTAACCCAGGTTTGGGATGAGGGAGTGGGAATCAGAAATGAATTCCTGAAGAGAGTAGTGGCTAAGTCAAGACTTGAAGAATGCAGAGTTATCCAAGAGCCTACAGAGCTAGAGAGAGAGAAAAAGAGAGAAAGAGAGAGAGAGAGAGAGAACTTGGCAGCTGGAAAATGGAGTTTGAGAGGGTAAGAATCAAGGTTAAACCAGAGCTAGGTCATGCAGGACTCTGTTAATCATTTTTTGTACTTATTCTGAGAGACATTGAAGCCATTGAACTGAGCGTGATCTATGCTTTGCAAAGAGCCCTCTGGTTGCAGGACAGATTGATTGGGCAGGGACAGAGGGGAGGACAGAGGAGGGAGGAATAGTGTGAGGAGGCACTTGGTGGACTGCAGAGTGATTGAGAAAGTAGACCTGCTGGGACTTGGAAAGTGGCGGAGGAAGAAGGAGGAGAGCTGTCTGAGGCTGCTGCCTAACGAGGGGACAGTCCCAGGGACCGAGCGAGGTTTGGCGTGAAGATGATGACTTGGGCTTGCAATGTCTGTGGGATAAAGGATGGAGCTACTCAGTTGGCCTGGGTGTCCCAAGCACTCCCCAGGCAGGTGGGGTGGGATGGGTCATAGGGACCTGGACTTTGGCCAGGGCCTGAGACTGCATGGGCTAACACTGGCCCACTGAGGGGCTTTCCCATGCACAGGTATCTCTGCAGCTGGCCTCCGGAGCCTTCCTGCTCAACCAAGCCTTCTGCGAGGCCATCCACATCCCCATGGAGAAACTCAAGTGGACCTCGCCCTTCACCTGCCACCGAGCCTCCCTCACGGCCCGCCAGTCCGAGTCTAAGACCCCGAGTCCCCAGTTATGCACCAGCCCCCCACCTCAGCCCCCCTCCTGTGGTAGCATCCCTCTGGAGCCTCCAGCTGAAAGCAAGCCCAGCCTGGAGACGAGGGCGGTGGTAGAGCACACAGGGAAGCTCTGGGCCACGGTGGTGGGGCTGGCATGGCTGGAGCACAGCTCGGCCTCCTACTTTACCGAGTGGGAGCTGGTGGCCGCCAAAGCCAACTCGTGGCTGGAGCAGCAGGAAGTGCCCGAGGGGCGCACGCGGGGCACACTCAAGGCCGCTGCCCGCCAGCTGTTTGTACTCCTGCGGCACTGGGATGAGAACCTCGAATTCAATATGCTCTGCTATAACCCAGATTATGTGTAGTGGGGGAGAGGAGGCTGGAGGTAGAGGAGACGGACGGGTAGGGCCATTTGGGACTGGTGGGGGGTGTTTTGGGAGCTGTAGCCAATATATCAGTTGCTAGAAAGAGCCCTGGACTGGCAGTCAGGAGGCCTGAGTTCAATCCCAACTTTGCTCCCAGTCTAGCTGTGCAACTTTTGGCCAGTCTCTGCCTCTGTCTGAGCCTCAGTTTTCTCATCTATAAAATAAGAGGGTGAGAAGAGGGAGCTGGCCTGGATCTCAGATGGTTTGAAGGTTCCTTTCTGCCCAGACATTCAAACAGTCCTGGGCCTACTGCAACTGTGGGTGGCAAGATAAGATACAGTGGGGGATAAGATACTGTCTTTCTGGAGACAGACCACATAGGCACGGAGTAGAAACAACAGTTCCCCCTCAGATAAAAGGGTGGGTGAGAGAAGCCAGCCACTACAAGGAACCGGGCCTACGAGCTTGCCTCTAGGCACAGAGAGACCACCTAGACTGTTGCATTACCGGATAGGCTCTTGTCTCCTTGGTGACAGTCCCGACCCCAAAATCCCACTCAAAAGCTGACTGGAGAACCATTCTTCCCAACATTTGACAAAAGAGTCACTCGGGGCCTTTTTTTCTGGCTAGGAAGCTCCTTTTGTACATTTTAGTGTTGATTTGCAGATCATGTGTGACATCCTATCTAAAAAGAGGGGGTGGGCAGGATCGGGGAGACACCTTGTGAGGTGAAGTATTCTATTTAAGTGGTAGTGTGTCCAAAGTAGTCCCCCAAAAATAGGCATGGTCACAGGAGTCAGTAAAGAAACCAGATGACACCTTAAATAATGTACACGTTTTCAGGAATTGGGTAACATGAACTCCATCACTTGTACTGAGGAGCTAGAGAGGTGCTTCCGTGCACTGCATCCTGGGATGGGGGCCCTCTGGAGACATGCCACACTGTGGGAGAGAGGGTCCTTCTTGCAACAGAGAACCATGCTGGGCTGCAATGCGTTTGAGGAGAGCAGCTTCATCTCAGAGGCATGATGTGTCTGGTGAAATGAAAGAATTTTGAACTCCAGGGGGTTCCCTCACTCAGGCCACCATGTGATACCCACATGGGGATGGGAGCGCTCCAGCCTCAGATTCCCTCATGGCTGGTGTCAAGCTGTCCAGTCTCCTGCTGACTCCTGGGAGGTGGCTTTAGACCTCACCAGGGACGCCCACCAGGTTGGGACCCCAGGCTGAGTCCGTGGACGCTATAGCCCCCTCCCTCCAAGGCCTTCCCCTCTCCTTGTCCAGGTGCACCCCCAGGAATGGTTCCCATGGCCCTGGCATGAAGGGAGGGAGGGAGGAGACTCCAGCAGAACACCACCCTCCCCCCGCAGGTATGAAGGGAGAAATGGCAGCCCCAACAAGCTATGGTGCCCTACCTCAAATTCCCATACCCCTCAATGCCTAGCCTTCCTGCTATGCTGTAAAATCTCCCGGGAGGGATTCTCACTGCACAAGCAGCCTTTTTGAAGACTTAAGATAACATCCCTTTGCTGCTTCAGACTTACCCTTTGGGGAGAAGCCGAGGCAGACATTCTTTGACACTGTGGCCATCATGACCCCAGGTGGGGCAAGATTCCAGTCTGCGGTGTTGGCTCCAAGTCAATGCCACCAAGGGGGAGAAAGGCCTTAGGTTGTCTTGCTTGAGACTTAAGAAGAGAGGAGCAGAGCTGTGTCATCTCACTGCACACCTCCGTCCACACCCCCCAGGAAAAAAAAAATACCTCTGTAGCTGTGCAGGCAGCAGCCCCAGCTTCCGGGTAAGGATAGGGGAGGTGGTGTGTACTTCCTGGTCCACCACTCATGGAAAAATTGTCAGGTTGTGAATCAGAATGTCTGGACGCAGGTTTCAGCCCTGGTACTGGTTTGAGCAAGTGGCTTCCCCTCCTGGACACGCTGAAGCTGGGGCTTTCTCCTCTGACAGTCCAAGACCCTCTGCCTCAGAGATGTTTCCATCTTAGTGAACATGGCTTTGTTCTAGTTCTCTGTGTGACCTCGAACAAGTCATGTGTACATTTCAAGCCTCTTTCCTCCTTGACATAAACAGATTGGACTGGATTGTCCAGCACTCCCAGGTCTCTAGGCCTTGGTGGAACAATGACCAGGGCTCGAAGTGGCCCAGCCCCTGCCCAGTGTGGAGCACGATGCCTACAGGGAGTAATTGAGAAGCCTAGCGAGATGGCAGACACACCATCCCCATCTCCAGGATAGCTTCTGAGACTCTGCCCCTATTTCAGCCTGGGAGCTCTGCACCACGCTGGACACATGAGAAAACTGCCGATTTCCGCAAGCCCTAGCTCCCCTGCCCACCATCGAGGATACAGAGGAACAAATCCTCATTGGTTACAAATAACCCAAGAACTGCAGGGGGACATCTGAACAGGAGACATTTTTAAAGCACTTCAGTGCTATTGAGATGACATGCAGCCTTAGGAATCCGCCAGCAGGATCACTAAGCAGAGGACCTATAAGTGACTAGCTTTAAGGAAAAGATAAGAACCTTGGATAATTAGTACATGCATGGAAGCTAGCGTTCTAAAGGTTCTCAAGTAGGTGACACATTTACCTGCAAACTGGCTTAATAGAGATTAGTCAGTTTAGTGTGTTAAACCAGTCCTTGCTTTCGAGGTCATACAAAGGAACACATGCCCCACACTGATTGAAGGAATGCCCAACAGCACTGTCTGACAAAGCCCAGCCTCCGAGTCACTTCAGTGGGAAAATGCTGTGGGAAAATGCTAAGCCACGAGTTAAGGAACCCAAGTGTTCGTCTCAACTCCACCACCCTGTGCTGTATGTCTTCTGGCAAGTTGTTTGCTTTCTTTGAGTCCCGTTTCATGTTTTGAGGAATCATGGGGTTAAGCTAGATCGGCACTTCTAAACCTTTTCCTTAGGTGAGATGTAAATAAGCAACCCATGAGAAACCATTCCTGGGCAGACATGTTGAGGGCACGCTAGGAAAACAACCTCCTCCTGGTTAGGACAATTCATCTGTGACTGTGTGGCTGTGCGTTGTCAGACCCCAATGGCATGATCCAGCATGCCGCTCTGCCCAGGTTACTCAATTGAAAACGCTGATCTAGGTCTCCCTTAGTGTTCTTGAAACACTAGAAAGCCTTTATTGAATGCCTGCTGCATGCCAGGCATACTGGGGTACAAGAGAACACACGAGGTACTGTCTCTGTCCTTTTGGTAGGTTGGCAGGAAGCATTCTAAGAGCCTCTGTTCCGTGAAGCATTTTCCCACTCTCTGGTGCTTCTAGTGGGTTCGTCTTGACTGGTCCTTGAATGTCCTGCCATGTAGTTGTGGCCTCAGTCATGTGCTATCAGGCACCCTGTGGACGAGCAACCAGCCCCCTGACACTCACTCACGGTGTGGGTGCAGCTGGCCACAATAGCACACGGTGTGGCACGGCCAGAGGGAGGCTCCTCCTGGGGGCTTCCCTCTCCTGGTGGAGCAGGGGTGTCCCTGCAACAGAGTGCCCTGAGGGTCCAACCTCCTGCCACACATAGACGCAGAGCCCCGGCTCTGAGCCCCCTCAGTCCAGGAGACCAACTCCAGATGCTGAGAAAACTGGGCCCCACACTCGGGCAGCCTTCCACTGGACTTGTCCATAAGCAGCCTCAGTTTCCAGCCTGCCCCAGTGTTTTCCCAGCCGGTCCCCTCCCTCCGTGTGGCAGATGAATGGTGTCTGCTGGCCTCCACTGACCTGACTGCCACTTGTTGTGACTGATGACAGGAGCAGCTGGTTCCAAGACCAGCTCCTGATGGGTTTTCACCTGCTCTTCGGATATACGAAAAGGGCCTCACCTCCTCCCTTCTAGCAGCTTCACCTGGCCCAGCTGTCAACAAAGATTTCTGGAAGTTTCCTCTAAATCCTGACTTGCCCCCTGTGGGTCCCTACCCTTATTTGAAAGCCCCGTTCCCTCCTCTCTTGGCTACTGTTCCCCTTCTCTATTCCTTGGCAGGGACTCCCCACGAGAGGGTGTGGGGAAAGGGGTCTTCCCCATCTGCATGCAGCCTGCCCCCTGGCAATTGACTGCCCATCGACCTGCCAGGCTGGAACCTTCATGACACCCCAGTACCTTTCAATCAGGAAGCCCAGTGCTGCCTCTCACTATTTGCTCATTGCAACATCTCCAAGTGGTCCCCAGATCACGCCTAGTGCCCTGGCAAGGGACAGGGACTGGTACCACTACCCCAGGAATAGGGCAGGCGTCCATTGCCATGGCACTTGGAAGATCTTTTTTCCCCCCTCACCATTCTAGCAGGGACTAGAAAAGTCAACAGAAACAAAATGGGCTCATTCTTCAGCTGTAACATAGTGTGCTCCACAATGCCAGTGTAAAAATAACCAGGGCAGGGGTGTGTGTGTCATTTTGCAGCTGGATAATCTGATCTGCAGAGATCTGTCCCAAGGTCAGGGGCTTGGCAGCAACTCCTGGCCAGGCCTACAGCCCCCTACTGCGGAGCATGTGACCCATGTGCCCACCCCTGCCCCTAACCCATTGACTTTAGCCTCTCAACAGCACTGCCTCCCCAGGTTATCTGACAAGGTGGGATTTCTCCTGTTCATGCTGCAAATCTCCTTGGCTCAGGGCCAGCTGTCTTGAGCTTAGAGCTGCGACCCCTGGCAAAGCGCCTCATCTCAATGCAGCTGACCGTGGCGACGCACGTGGTGTAGTTTCACTATTCACCCAGGTGGCTTTGGCTCAAGTGGCATGGCTGGTGCTTGTCCCCGTCAGAGCCTCAAGTGCCTACAATGTGCTGCCCGTCCCCTCGCCTGCTCACCTGTACTGTCCCCACGGTGCCTGTGATACTTCCATGTTCTTGGAATACACGTCACCTGCTTGCCTGGTAGCCAGTTACGTAGATGTTATAGGCGACCCAGATGTCGGCCGTCTGTGCCCACCAACACTTAGTAAATCCTACCCTGGGTCCGTGTATGTTTGTTCTCAGAGGAATGGCTTCTTTGTACATGGTGGCTACTGTTCTTTTCTAGGCTTTGAGCTCATAAAATCTGTTGACTCTGACAATATGACAAAATTATACTTGTGTCTGCTCTTTTGTTCTCAAAGCCAAGAACACTTGGCTTTCAAACTAGTGGTTTAGTGATTTGTTTGTCTCACTTAATGTGTCACATCTGTCTTGGTTTTGGTTCCCCATAAGATGACCAGCTGTCCCAGTT